GCCACGTCGCACGCGAACCTCCCATCATCATCATCGTGATCATCATCATCATCACCACGATGATCATTATTAGCATGCACTGAACCATCGTGATTATGATCCAACATCATCATCAACACTGAATACCACTCCGGTGTCATCACAACTCTCGCGGTCATTGTCATCATCACCGTGATTGATGGTCATCATCACCGTGATTGATGGTCATCATGATTCTCAACGTAATTGTTGAGCATCATTGTCGTAACGACGATGACGACCTTCACCCTGATCGTCATCATCATCATGGTCACCACGAATATCGGGATCATCACAACAACCAACCATCACGACGAGCGTCACCATCACGACGAGCGTCACCATCACGGACATAAACGAGGCCACGTGACTATTCGAGTCAAACAATCGATCGTTTTGTTGTTTGCACTGACGTTGATGCTGTCTCGCCCGTAGCCGCCTGCGTGATATTCCCCTGTCTCGACTGAACTGTTTGTACCATTTGTCTTAGCCTCGCCTATTCCCTCTCGCTCCATCATTCCGACCATCAACCCGACTACGCGCCGGCGAGGGGGGCGGGGGGCGATCACCAACGTGGATGCAATGTCCACGAATCGACACGGAGTCTCGCGCGCGGCATCCGATGCGACGGGGGATCGTGAGTGGTGTAATCGAGTTTTTTTTTTAATCGATAAATCGTCAAATTCCCCCGTATGCGCCATCACACACCCAGAGAGCGACCCCCGCCCCCCCCCCTCACTCACCCCCCGCCCCCACTCACTCACCCCCCACACCCCCCTCTCTCACCCCCCCGTCCCCACTCACTCACCCCCCACACCCCCCTCACTCACCCTCCCGCCCCCACTCACTCACCCCCACCCCCACACCCCGGCCAGCGTGCTCCGGCTCTTGGGGAAAGTTGTGGAGAAGAGGGTGGTGGTGGTGGTTGCTGCCAATCTTCCACTGACAACGAGAATGAGGCAAGGCTGCAGCTGTGTTGGAGCGGTTTGCGGTCGTGGTGGTGGGGAGTGCGGTGGGGGGGGGAGGAGAATATGGGAAGAAGACAAAGGTGGCTTGGAGAGGAGGATGAGAGGAGAGAAGGGTAGAGTGGAGATGCAGCAGGGAGTGGATTGGAGGGCACGAGAGAGGTGAGGGAGAGAGAAAAGAGAGGCGAGGTAAGGAAGGGAATGAGAGGATGATGGGGAGAGAGAGAGAGAAAAACGAAATGATGAACGAAGTCAAGTGCCGATAACACCGAGCATATTCTTGTTTCCTCTGATCGTAAAATAGAGAAAGGGAGGGAGAGACACGGAGATAGGGAGGGAGAGTCAAAAAAGCGAAATGATGAACGAAGCAAAGTGGCGACTACAACGAGCAGAGGAGAAAGGATGATGACAATGAGATGAGATGTGAAGGGGGAGTGGAGGCGGTGTGGTAGGAGGGGAGAGAGGCAAGAGAGGGGAGATGTGGGAAGGGAGATCTGTAGATGGGAGCGAGGAGCGGAGCAAGTTGGAGTGAGATGATTTGGCAGGAGGGAGGGCAGTGGCGTTCTCCTTGTTGGCATGGCCCCTCTGGCCAAAGGAACGGGGCCTTGGCGCAGTTCGACCGACGGTGCGCTCGAGTTGGCCGCCGTGGCGCAGGAGAGGGGCAGCCCTTTGGATTGGACGGGGAGACGGAACGCGGGGCTGTGAAAGGCGAGAAGTGGGAGATGGGAATCAAGGCAGCGAGAGACAGGGAGAGACAGGGAGAGGCAGAGAGAGGCAGGGAGAGGCAAGAGAGAGAGACAGGGAGAGACAGGGAGAGGCAGTGAGAGAGAAACAGGGAGAGACAGGGAGAGGCAGGGCGATGCAGGGAGATGCAGGGGAGAGGCAGGGAGAGAAAGGGAGATGCATAGAGAGACAGGGAGAGACAGGGAGAGGCAGGAAGAGGCAGGGAGAGGCAGGGAGAGACAGGGTGATGCAGGGGAGAGACAAGGGAGAGACAGGGAGAGGCAGGGAGATGCAGGGGAGAGGCAAGAGAGTTCGTGGCTTTGCAGAGGCGAAGAGGAGGAGGAAGAAGAAGAGATGGGCAGTGGATGCCGTGAGTTTCTGGATCTTTGAAAACCCCGAAATGGATGCAACATCATCACGTCCCATCCAGCAGTAGAACCGAGCGAGTTCAAATCCCCACCGGGCGCTCTTAGTGGAGCATTGTAGGTAGGTAAATAAATAATTTAATCTACCCTCCGGTCCGTATCTCCACGTAGACATAAAATATGCCTAACACGTAGGCTTTCGCGACCAATATTATTCCTAATAAAGTTTTTTGGGTTAGATCGCGATCTAACCCAAAACACTTCATTATGAATAAAATATGATTATATAATGTTGCTCGGTCTGTCAGCCTTCCGGGCTTATACCGCGTGAATTAAAAGAGGCTCCGACTCTGCCGATGAGCCGCGGAAAGGGTGAAACCGGGTCAGAGTCGGCGCCTCTTAAGCACGCCGTGCTGATGCGTCTCGACGAGGACGACTCAATCCGGCGCACAGTTTGTACCCGGCTCCATCTCCCGCTGCTGCCGTGAGCAGGTCACGACTTGCTCAAAATGTAAATTGTCTTGGTGAACCACGGTGAGGTTCTTCGGGAACTGCCGATGGTTTTTGTTGTTGTTGTTGTTGTTGTTGCAAAATGCACAAATGGCTACGTTGTATTTGTGTGGTTTATTTTTCTCCACCACGTGTCTGGGTATGGGTTGAAACAAATTGCCACTGGCTGATCAAAGCGCCGCGTGTGGAAGTTCGCCAGGTGGATTTGACTAAACACAAACCACAGTTGCATTTGATTATCGCACCCTGGACCCGTTAATGCCGAGTATAATAGTGACCCCACCCCCCTCTCCCCCACGCCCTCCAGTACCACACACACACAAGCAGGGAGGGGTAATCATCACCAGCCCTGGTCAACAGCGCCAACGCAGTGGCAGCCGAGCGAAATGGAACGCGTGACCCAGGGCACCACTCCCGGGGAGATGGAGCAATGGAATCCGTTCGTACGAAATGCGCTGCGGGGATTATCGCGTCGCACGATCGCGAGACGCGGCGGCGGCAGTGGCTTGGAGAGGCCTTCATCCAGCAGTGGAATGACCAAGGCTGCTGATGATAATGATGATGCTGATGACGAATAATCAACATAACTTCCCCGTGTTCATTCGGCGCTTATCAATTCACTCTCTCGCCCCCCCCCCCCCCCACATTCTCGCGATTCGATTAATGGTCACGATTCAAGCTCACGGTTCGATTCAATCATCGATTGTTTTGTCCCTCATTGCGACGTAGGTGTGTGGGGGGGGGTGCGAGGGGGGCAGTGAGAATCACGCGAACGCCATCGCGTGACCATGTGGTTATCAACCTGCGAATCGATAATAATAATCGATCACCGCGCGAGATATATTCGATGCACGCGCATCGGGAGCGAGCGCGATTTTTTGCGAGCTGCTGTGATCGTCATCATCCTCCTCAATCAGCCCCCAAATAGAAGAACGGGCAACAACGGGAGTGGTTTGCGCCAACAGTTCTCGACGAAGTCTCCCGGCCGCCGTGAGACACGCGCCGAGTGTGATGTCCCCTGGCCGCGGCACGGCCCACGTCAGTGGCGCGCGACGGTCGGAGCCAGAACTCTCCAACGCCTCGCCGCTGACGCCGGCACAACCACGACCCCCCCCCCCCCCGCTCCTTTACAAAGGAGGGATGGGGTCGAGAGGCATTCATCCAGCAGTGGAATTGATCAACGGCTTCCCCTCGCATTTGTTATCCCCCCCCCCCAACCAACCACTTCCGCACCTACCAAATTAGCGCGAGTTGGCTACGTGCGGTGCGAAGGAAGTTCAACATACACGCACGTGCAGAGTTGGACGCGCGAGCGATGCGCGTCGATGGGAGTTTGCGATTCCGCTCGGGGAGGGAACGCGAACAGCTGGGACAGCTGGAACAGCTGGGACAGCTGGAACAGCTGGAACAGCTGGCGCGCCGCTGTGTCTGCTCGCCCGCGTCGCGTTCGATAGCTGCGAAGGTGCCAGTGGCGATCAGAGTCGTCCGTACGATGCCGATGTCCCCCACGACCGCGGTGCGCGTGCATCGAGGTCGTGCGCTGCCAGGAGTCGTGATGCGATGTTAATCCCCAAAATGATATTCCAATTATTTCGACTCAAGCAGGCGAAGGTCACGAAAGAGACGGGCTCCGAAGAGAGACGGTGACGGACGAGAAAACATAACAGACAAGACCAACGAGATGGAACTAACGAGACAGATGATACAAACGAGACAGAGCTTACGAGATAGACAATGCAAACGAGACAGAGCTAACGAGACAGTCAATACAAACGAGACAGAGATTACGAGACGGATGATACAAACGAGACAGAACACACGTTACAAGATAGACCACCCCCACCAACTAGACTGGGCAGAACAGATGACACTCCTATGCATGAGACGAGCAGATAAGGAAATATATCTCCGTAATCGAATCGGTTCGTGACGATTAATGAGAGAAGCGTGACGCGTGAGTGGAATCATAGCGACGTGGGGGGGGGGGGGTGCAGAGTGTGGGGAGCGGTGGCGCAGTGGTTAACGCGCTGCGCTATGAGCCCGAGTTTGATTCCCGCTCACGGCCAACGCCGGCGTGGTGGGTGCTGACCATCCACCCCCCACCCCCCCCCGTGTGTACCCCGTGCCGGCCTTCATAGGTGCTACTCGCTCACAGCACTTGCCCCAACAGCCTGTTGAGGCTACACGAGGGATCTTTGTCAATGTGTGCAATCGTAACATCATCCCATTGATTCTTCTGATCATTATTCTAGATGTACAATTCCATACGTTTCGAATTATAATGAAAATAATCATCATCATCACCATCATCATCCTCGTTTGCGCTCCTGTCAGAAACTGACCGTGCCCAACACAACAGCCCGTGGCGACATCCCCCCCCGCCCCTCGGCCCCCACCCCCTCGTGGGAAATGTATCGCATTTGTTAAAATTCCAACTCCGGGGGAGAACAATATATATTTATTTCTTATTTTTCACAAATTCCTCCCTCCACCCCCCTTCCTAAAAAAATAACCACAATAAGTGATTGTCAATATATATTAAACCGTAACTTTTTTTTTCCGTGTCGTCGTTGTTGCCCATGTATACAAATATACTCACAATGTACACACGACGCCCGGGCACGGCGCGCAGCAGCTTCTCACGACAGCTCCGAGCCGAGCGTCGAAGCGACACCCGCGCGGGGCCCGAGACTCGCCGCTCACCGCGACAAGCGCCACGCGGCGCTCGCAGCGAGACACGCGGCGGCCGTGAGCACGACGCTAGCCAGGGGTCGCCGCTGTCCCGCGGTGCGGGGCTGACCCCTGGGGAAGACTCGGACCGAGTGGGTGCCATCCGCGCTCCCGGACGCTTTCTGGCGCGCGTGCCTTCCGACGCCGTACGCGGCGGCGTTGTCCCCATAGCCACCGTCCTCGTCATCGTCACCATCGTCATCCTCATCGTCACCCTCATCGTCGTCCTCGTCATCGTCGTCGTCCTCGTCGGCAAAGTCGCCGCTCCCTCGCTCGCGGTCGAAGCACAGCCGCTCCATGTTGTCCTTGACCACCTCGCAGAACGGCCTCTCGAGGCCGTCGCACACGCACTCGCTGAGCGCCAGCGCCCTGGGCATGGCCATCATGTGCAGGATGACGCGCATGCACTCGCGCGTGCAGCGCACCCCGTTCAGCAGCTTGCCGCAGTTCATGAGGTAGGCGTCCATCGCCGCGCTGCACGCCGGCTCCACCTCGCACCGCCGCCTCGCCTCCGTGCAGCCCAGGGCACCGCCACCAGCGCCACCACCAGCACCTCTTACACGACCTCCTCCATCTCCTCCGTATTCGTCGTCGTCGTCGTCGTATTCGTCCTCGCCGCCACCGCCGCCGCCCGTGTAGGTGCGAGGCAGGCACGGCTCGATTCCTCGTTTGGCGGCGAGGCACACGAAGTCGTGCGCGCAGTCGCAACTCTCCAGGCCGGGTCCTCCCCGAGTCGCGTTCAGTTGTATGATGGCGTGGATGCAGTGGCTGGGGCAGTGCGTGACGGCGGAGAATCCACCGCCGCCACCACCTCCACCGCCTCCACCATCCGCTTCGTCCGCAACGTCCCCGCTGGCGGCAGGGCGCAGCGCCGCCTCGCACGCCCGGAGGTACTGGTTGTACGCCCGCTTGCACTCGGTCTCTTGCAGGCAACGGATCTCAGCCTCCCAGCATTGCATGGCTCCACCGCGCGCTGCCTGCGCTGGCCGCAGCAGCACCTGCTGTGTCCCGCCAACGGGCAGCGCCTGCTGCAGAAGCAGCAGCAGCAGCAACGGCAGCAGGATGTGGTGGTGATGATGGTGGTGGTGGTGGTGCAAGAGCGGTGACGCGGGTGGCAGCAGCGCAGAGCAAGAGGGGTGGTGGTGCTGGGGATGATGGAGTTGGTGCCGGGGATGATGGAGTTGGTGCTGGGAAGGATGGAGTTGGTGCTGGGGATGATGGAGTTGGTGCTGGGGATGACGGGGGTACGATGACCAGAGCGTCGCGCTCTCCTCCGACTTCAACTCCGATCCCAAAGCCGATCCGCAGCCGGAGCCGGAGCCTGACCCTGTCCCGGGCCGCAACCGCGACGTGGCCATCTCGATGAGACGTGCGCAGAAGCGCCGACGAGTGGCAGCAGCGGCAGCAGCGGCAGCAGCGGCAGGAGGAGGAGGAGACCGCAAAGAAGCGGCCGAGTCGAGCGGAGGAGTCGAGCGCCGTCCCCTCTCTCTCACATCGCCGCGGGGCGAGGCGCGCTCAGCCCCCACGAGCTGCGAGCCCTCACGGCGAGGATTTGGCGTCGAGTCTGTGCCCGGTGGCGCGGTGGTTCCTCCTCCTCCTCCTGCCTCCTCCTCCTCCGCCTTCTCGCCGCCGCGGTGCCCCGGAGCATCTCAGCAGCCGCTCGGCATGCCAACGATGGTACTCGTCCGGCAACGACGGCTCCGGGGGCAAGCGACTTGGGAACTTCCGCTGGTCGCGATCACATGGAGAGTGTCCCCCCGCCCCCCACAAACGTGGGAGATGTTTCGCGTTGGTCTGTGGCCGCCCCCAATCTCTGCCGCTTACCCTAACACCCCGCACCCAAAGCTGACCCTAACCCCAAGTCCCAGGTCGAACCCTGACCACCCCGACACGCGAGCCCCTTTGGCCAAGGCTCCAGGCAAAGGAGCGGCGACCTCAAAACTGCAAGGCGATCTGCGTCGTCAACAAAAGTTGTCCGTCGGCTTTCGCCTCGGTCGAGAGGATTCTCCTCCGACAACTCCTCCTGATGCTGCTCCTGCTCAAGGCTTCTCCTCGTGGAGTCTGGGAGTCACTCTCCACCACACACTCGGCGCGGCTCGCGCAGAGAATTAAATCTTAATCTGGCCGCCGTCTCCTCCCTCCTCCTCCTTCCTTCTCCGCCAAGACCCCCCCCCCCTAAACCTCCTTCTTCCCTCCTTCCCTTCTCTTACCACACTCCCAGCAACGCTCCGCAAACTTTCCTTCTGTCGCTCTCTCTCTCCTCCTCTCTCCCCTTCCTCTCTCCCACTCTCTCGCCGTGTCTCTCTCTCTGCGCGCGTGCGCTGCGTGTCTGCCGCTCAGACGCACCGACAGAGCGAGGGAGACGAGGGATGATGGCACCGGGGTCGTGTTCTAAACCGCCTCTCTTACTTCTTTGAACAGCAGGAGAAGCGCAGACCCCTCGCTCTCTTTTCCACCTCCTCCTCTTCGTCTCTCTCTACTACCCTCTCCTCCTCTTCCTCGTCTGTACTCCGAGTCTCTCTCCTCCTCCGAGTCTCTCTCTTCTTCTTCTTCTTCGTCTCTCTCTCCTCCCGCTCCTCTTCCTCGTCTCTCTCTCTCCTCGTCCTCTATCGACGCGCCGCGTCCCCACTTCGCCTTTGTCCGCGAGGGTCTGCGTCGCCTTCACGCTCGAGTTCACAGCTCGCCGCCCCCACCGGGGGGGGGGAGGTGGGTCGCGTCCGTGCCGCTCATTGGCTGGCGTGAGGAGGGTCCGGGGGGAAGGGCGGGGTGGCGGTGGTGGGGGGGGGGGACTCTGGAAACTTTTGTTAGCGAGTGTGTGTGTCAGAGTGTGTGTGTCAGAGTGTGTGTGTGTCAGTGTGTGAGTGTGTGTGTGTGTCAGAGTGTGTGTGTCAGAGTGTGTGTGAGTGGGTCTGTCGCTCCGCACGAAGATTCAGGTCTTCTCGGCCACAGTCATTCCCTCCCTTCTCTACGCTTGCGAAACGTGGACCCCCCCCCCCCTAATGAAGCATCTTCGCCGGTTAGAAACATTTAGGCTGGCCTGCCTACGATCCATCCTGGGTTTAACCAGGCTGGATTTCGTGAGGAGCTCACAAATCCTTGAAAGATCTGGGCAAAGTCCCATCGGTGAGCTCCTCCGACAGGCAAGGTTGCGTTGGCTGGGTCATGTAGCCCGCATGCCCAGCCACCGCATGCCTAAACAGCTTTTGTTCGGCCGGATCGAGGGGGCTAAACGGGCGCGACACGGGCTCGAGAAGAGATGGAGTGATGTAGTACAGGAGGACGTGGAGCTGAGTGGACTTGCCGATGACTGGTACCAGCGGTGTCAAGATCGGCCTCTGTGGAGGAGGCTCGTGAAGGACGCTACTGGGCAGTTGAAGGCAGTCGCCCTCCAACAACAATGGAGGGCGGAGGAGCGATGCTCACAACAACGAGCGGAGCCCTGGGTGGCTAAAGCACAGCAAGTTGGCACGGTAGGGGGCACAGGTGGTGCATCAGCCAGTCATCTCGGTCATCTCAGTCAGTCGACCCGTGGCACCTGGGTCTGCCCCGTGACCTCCTGCCAGCGGGCGTTCGACACTTCACATGGCCTCAAGGTGCACATGGCTTGGCACAAGCCTCGTGGTGACGTCACCGCCACTTAGTGGCGAATGGCGGTTGTTGTTGTGAGTGTGGCAGAGTGTATGTGTGAGTGTCAGAGTGTGTGTGTAAGTGTCAGAATGTGTGTGTGTGTCAAAATGTGTGTGTGTGTCAGAGAGTGTGTGTGTGAGTGTCAGAGTGTGTGCGTCTGAGTGTCAGAGTGTGTGTGTGTGTCAGAGTACGTGAGTGTCAGAGTGTGTGTGAGTGGAAAACATATATAATTATGCTTGTGCCGGAGGGACAGGCGTCCATGACGTATCCTGGCCAAACCCCATTTGGCAGAGTCAGGAGATTGAATCCTTACCCTCGGGGTTCCTCAAGAAAGAGCAAAAAGCCACTGAGGGTGGCCGAATGGAATGTTCGAATGCTAACTGCGGAGGAGAGGCTGCCACTCCTCTGTCGGGAGTATCGCCGGTACAGCCTGGATCTCTGTGGTATTCAGGAGGTCCCGTGGACCGGCTCTGGCTCCTGAACAGTCCTCTACTCGGGGCAGGAGACTGCCAAACAACAGGGAGTGGCTCTTTTTCTGAACAAAATAATGAAGGGGGCGTGGGAGCGTGGTGGTGAGGTGTGGGAAGCCATAAGCCCCAGCATACTTTGGGCTCGCCTTCCTATCAACCAAAGGAGGGGATTGGTGGTCGTGGTTACTTATGCCCCACCGAAGACGAACATCCGTGGAGGGATACAGGCAAGGCCAATGAGTCAGATGCCTTCTATGACCTCCTGTCACAGGTGCTGGCTAAAGTGGCTCCTCGAGATAGAGTCATCTTGTTGGGTGACTTTAATGCGCGAGTTGGTCATGATGCTGGCATCTGGTCTGGAGTGATTGTAAGGCATGGGCCAGATCAGCTCAATAACAACGGTAGGAGGCTGCTAGATTTTTGTGCAGCCCATGGGCTTCGGCTTGTAATTACCAACACGCTGTTCCGGCACCGGCGCATCCACACAACATTATGGATTCATGCTGGGTCCAAGAAAGAACATCTGCTGGACTATATAGTGACGGAACGGCGGATGCGAGTCCATGTCCTTGACACCAGAACCTACTGTGGAGCTGATCTGCCCACTGACCATCGACTTGCATTCCACTGAGATTTTTGCACACAGCGTTGATATACGGTGCTTTTTTTCTGGAACATTTTACTGTTTTTTCCTGGAAGTTTCTGTTGCAAAACGCCACTTTAAGATGTGTTTTCTTAATAATTTGTTTGTTACGGTTGCACGCGAGTCAAGAACCTCATGGCTCACAGGATTATATCTAATAAATGAAACTGACTTGTCACCTGTAAGATGCGCCTGCCGTTCTTCCACTTCGGTGGTGGGTGTACACCCAGGACCCATTCAAACCCTTAGCGGCCTCGTCTCAGCTAGCGGATGAAAGTTGCAAGCAAGAATTTCATCATCGCTTACGGCTGGTGTTGGCATCGTCCCCCACTCCTCCTGATGTCGAGGGGAAATGGGCGAGGTTTAGGACTGTGGCTCGTGCAGCTGCAATGGCTGCGGTGGGTACGCGGTCCAGACCTCCCCAGAGACCCTGGCTGACAGAGGAGGTGTTCAGGCTGGCTGAGAAAAAGCGACAGGACCACTATCATTGTTTACAGCATCCCACATCATAGAATGAGGAGGCTTACTGCAGCCTTCGCTCGGAGGTTCGGAGAGCCGTCAGGCGCTGCAAGGATGGGTGGTGGTCCCGGGTTGCTGAGGATATGGAATTTGCCTCAGTGGCCCGCGATCACAAATTGCTCTCTAATTCCATCAAAAAAGTAACTTACAGTGCCACGCATATTACCATCATAAATGGTAAGAACGGTGATCCAATCTCTGACCCCCAGGAACAGGTTTGCAGATTTGTTGAGCATTTCTGTGAGTTCCTGTGGGAGGAGAAATCCCTCAGACTGGAACACATCGTGGGACAAAGTGGGGATGACCCTGATGAGTTTGCAGTGCCTCAAATATTGGAAGAAGAAGTCACCCCCTGTGAGTGGCTGGCTGAGGTGCCATCTGTCGAGGAAGTACTGAAGGCGATCCAGAGTCTGAGACCAGGAAAGGCACCGGGCAGAGATGATCTCCCAAACGAAATGTTGAGGGAGGGTGGCGTTTGTGCACAGACTGCCCTGCATGACATCATAACAACAGTCTGGACCACTGGACAGGTTCCGCAGGATTGGCAGGATGCCCTGGTGGTCCCCCTTTTTAAGAAGGAGGACCACACAGACTGTAACAACTACAGGGGCATCTCACTCCTCAGTGTGCCGGGAAAGGTCCTGGCAAAGATTATTCAACGTCGCCTTGCCAGGCACGCTGAGGAGAGGCTTGCGGAGCCCCAATGCGGTTTCAGAAAAAGGCGGTCCTGCACAAATGCCATATTTTCTGTCCGCCTTCTACAGCAGAGGTGTAGGGAATTCCAACAAGACCTACATTTCTGCTTTATTGACCTGGTCAAGGCCTATGATAACATCACTAGGCCTGGGCTCTAGGTTTCTCTTCGTGCTTTCAGATTCCTTGACCCTCTGCTCACGATCATTAAAGACCTTCATTATGGTAAGCGGGCTCGGGAAAACCTACGTGGCGGGGAGTCGGAGCCATTCCCTGTTCACCTTGGGGTGCGACAGGGATGTCCTCTGGCTCCCACATTATTTAACATATTTCGACCACGTAGTATGTGAAGCCTTCAATAGCTGTACCGGAAAAATTTCCATCCGGTATAGATACAATGGGAGGCTGATCGATGCCCGGGTGCGGTCAAGGGATGGCTCCCTATTGCTCAACCATGTTATGTATGCCGATTATCTGGTAATTGCTGCTCACTCAGAGGAGGAGTTGGAGGTGCTACTGCTGAACCTGGAGCTTGCCACGAAGAGATGGGGCCTTACCATCAGCCCCACCGAAACTAAGCAGCTGCCTGGGGATGTTGTTCCATCGGACACTCCACCCCCACAACTCCCAATTGGTGATAGGGCAGTTGTGGAGAGAGTGGAGAGTTTCCCATACTGGGCAGTGT